GTTGGTTTCCTTACCAAAGTAGATTTTTTCAAAAACAAGGTTACGTATCTCTTGTGAATGTGGAAGTGTGGTTATTGTTAGGGGGAAAATGCTACAAGTACATAATAAATGTACATAGAGGTGTACATAAAACTCACATAGAGTTTGATGGATCCACTCAATGTGAGTGTTATGTACAACCCTATGTACAATGTTACGTACTTGTAACATTACTCTAAAATAAAATAAATAACTACATATACACATAAACAAAAATATATAAATCATACAAATAAAAAGCTGTCTTGAGTTTTGACTACTCAATCACCGACGACGGCCCATATTCTCTCGGACTCGGGGGGGCCTGGAGATTTAAGTACAACTTTAGGTGACAAATAGCTACTGCCCACCAAAGTCTGGGCCCATGAAATTTAAGGATAGTTGGATACAAAAACCGAAATATTAACAGTAGACAATTTTTTTTTTTTTTTTTTTTTGTTTTTACGACTGGAGGTATCCCCACGTTCACTCCGAGACTTCAACACGAAAATAAAATATTGTGTTCGTAACTTTGTATGGATTGAGAGTTAATATACATTGTCTGGTTTATATGATAACTAGTACAGAGCCAGTGTGATGCACGCGGTGCACAATTTTAAAGCCATTTATCTAGCTTTATAATTATATGAATGAATAAAAAAAATGTATGGGATATATATAGTACGTGACATGTGCGAGACACGAGATATATTTATTTGGGGATTATTATATTATAAGATGCAATATTCAATAAAAGTTTTACAATACGCAGGAAAATTGTACAATAAAATAGAATTCGACAAAGAAACAATGACATATTATTAAAGACCTCCTTGTACACAACATTATGAGTTTGATTATTGAGAAACTCTTCATTCTCACAAACTAATATCTTCAACCCCTTCTGTTAGTTACACGCGAAACAGCAACATATCATTGTTCATGACTAAAGACATGTTTCTTTAGAAAAAGACCAATGTGGAATAAAGACTGTCCCTGACTCTTGTTTATGGTCATGGCATACGAAACATGTACAAAATATCTAAATACATACACGAAAATATAAAATAAAAATAAAAATATACGTTTCAAAGTTCGAAATTAAAAAAATATGCAAATAATTTGGCTTACAGTTTTATCATGCAGAACCAACTCGAGATATGATTTATATGTGCTGCCCCAGTCTTGGAAACATATTCTCGCAATTCGAACTCTGAGCATAAGTCTATTAGACCTATAGACTTGTTTGATTAAGCCAAATCATTTATTCGTTGTTTTGAATAAAAGTCTGATTGGGGATATTTTTTTTATTCGCATGATGTTGACAGTGAGGAAGATAATGACTCGATATTTTGAGATTTGTAATATTTTTATGAAAAAAATCAGTACATATTTCCATACAATTAGATAATAAATAAAGCCTTTTTTATTCTAGTGAAGATTTTACGTAATATTTTTTGACTTATCGGATGTTATGAGATTTTTTTTTCTTAAACCGATTTTATGGAATATAAGACAAATACAACTAGACGATTGAACAAAATCAGAACAGATTTTCATACAATTCGATAATAAGAAGGAATTAGATAAGAAATTTTGAATGTGTCTTTTTTTAGTATAGATATAGACTTTAAGTACAATTTTTGACTTCACCGATTTTATGAGATTTGTTTTTTACTGAATCGATTGTTTAGACGTAAAGATTTTATGTACTTTTTTTTTTATAAAAAATAAAATAAAATAAATAATTATATAAAAATAAATAAAATAATTATATAAGTTTTTTTAGTAAAGATATTACGGGATTTTTTTTTCTTAAACCGATTTTATGGAATATAAGACAAATAAATAAAATAATTATATAAAATTCTTGATATAAATAGCAATGCATTAATTACGTTGACTTTTCAACCTACTAAATTTGGTAAATAGGATACCTTATTATATAAGTATAGATGACAAAATAATAATAATAAAAATAATATAATAATGCTTGTAATATGTATTTTTGGTAAGTCATGTGTGAATGCAAATCTATCATGATTCAAAGACTAGAGCTATAAATGAGATGAGTTGAGCCGAGTTGAGCTCAAACATTTGAACTCTTAACAAGGCGAGCTCGAACTTTAACGAACCGATCTCAAACATTAACGAGTCGAATTATAGAAAATTATAAAAAAAAAATATCTTTTCGAGCCTTATCGATCCGTGTCGAATCCGGCTCGCTAAAGAAATGGGCTTAAACTAACTCGAGACGAGCCAAATCGAACTCAAGCCTTAACGAGCCGAACCGAGTTCACGAGTAGTTAGTTTTGTATAAGAGCTCTACTCAGGACTGACGGTGTGAATGTCACATGAATCAAATCTTGCCTAATTTACAAAGTATAATAATTATAAATCAGTTCAATCAAACTTCAAGATATATATTGAAGTGAAACAAACATGATACATCAATCTACAGCATGAAGAAAATTAACATGCATTAACCGAGGGAATGCTCATTTTGTAGCATCCATAATAATAATAATAGCTTGGAACAACAATAAACATGTAGATACAAGAATCCTAATAGTAACACCAAAAACAATACAAGTCCAAACGAGTCATTGTCATGCAATTGGGATTTCCCAATTGGTTGTTATAAGTAACTTCAAAACAAAAGATGATCGAAATGCATCAATATCAACGACATGCATATAATAACGACATCATCATGTACGCATGTCGAAAGAACATTGGTAAACTTCAAACCATTACACAGTTGCTTCCTACGATAGACTGAAGGTCCGTATACGGGCAAGGAATAGCAAGAACACCCGTTTGTTCGAAACCAAACTCCTCCTCGGCTTGCTCTAATAGCTTAAGAAAACCCGGGTGAGCCAAATAACTCAGTTCTATTATAAACCTTCTACACTCACCATTATCGACAGTATAAACAGCAAAATGCCCTTCTTTTACATCCTCAGGTGGGGCCTCGGCCGAGATATTCTCACCAAAATCAAACTGAATGGATGTTGTAAGGATTTTCTGTAGAATTTTCCTCACAGCCTTAAGAATAACTAAACCGCCCTTCATCATCAAGAAAATTATTAAATGAAGTTGTGTATAGGAAAAAAGCCTAGAAAAGCAAAGCTTATATAAAGCGGTTGAGGAAGGAACATAATATTTGGTCCCGAAAGATACTCACAAGCAAAAACTCACGTGCTGCGTGACAAAAGAACATCTGATACATCACATTTCTTCTATCTCGTTCGGAAAGCATCGATAAAGACAAAACAGGGTTATTACTCGACAGAAAGTTAAGATAGAACATAACGTGTACCGTATAAAATGTTCGAGCCAGTAACAAATGAATAATTGGAAAGGGAACATGCAGAAAATAGTAGCAATCGTGTTGCATATGTGAAATGTAGGGGACCGTAGTTAATGATGTGCGTCCTTTCTGTACAAATTAAAAGTACTCCATTGATTTGGACTTGCACCGAATCTTCGATTTTCTTTCAAAACGAGAGCAGCTTGCATTGAAAAATAGAATTATCTTTGATGGAAAAACTTTAGTCGTGTGAGGTTACATGATTTTATAAACGGGGAAATGTCCCTGATGAAGGACATGTGAAAGGAACATCCAAAATTAAGAACCAATTCTTACACACAGAATATTTTTCTGTCCCTCAATGTAGATAGACAAAAGGCTTTTATGAGTGAATGAATCACATATGCTAGAGAAAAAAAAAAAAAAAAAAAAAAAAAAAAAAAAAAAAAA